TGACACTCTTACGTTGGTGTGACACTCTTACGTTGCTGTGACACTCTTACGTCGGTGTGACACTCTTACGTTGCTGTGACACTCTTACGTTGGTGTGACACTCTTACGTTGCTGTGACACTCTTACGTCGGTGTGACACTCTTACGTTGGTGTGACACTCTTACGTTGGTGTGACACTCTTACGTCGGTGTGACACTCTTACGTTGCTGTGACACTCTTACGTCGGTGTGACACTCTTACGTTGCTGTGACACTCTTACGTCGCTGTGACACTCTTACGTCGCTGTGACACTCTTACGTCGGTGTCACACTCTTACGTTGCTGTGACACTCTTACGTCGCTGTGACACTCTTACGTTGCTGTGACACTCTTACGTCGGTGTCACACTCTTACGTTGCTGTGACACTCTTACGTCGGTGTGACACTCTTACGTCGGTGTGACACTCTTACGTCGCTGTGACACTCTTACGTTGCTGTGACACTCTTACGTCGGTTTCACACTCTTACGTTGCTGTGACACTCTTACGTTGCTGTGACACTCTTACGTCGGTGTGACACTCTTACGTCGGTGTCACACTCTTACGTCGGTGTCACTCTTACGTTGCTGTGACACTCTTACGTCGGTGTGACACTCTCACCTTGGTGTCACACTCTTACGTTGCTGTGACACTCTTACGTTGCTGTGACACTCTTACGTCGGTGTGACACTCTTACGTCGGTGTGACACTCTTACGTCGGTGTGACACTCTTATGTCGGTGTCACACTCTTACGTCGGTGTGTCACTCTTACGTTGCTGTGACACTCTTACGTTGCTGTGACACTCTTACGTCGCTGTGACACTCTTACGTTGCTGTGACACTCTTACGTCGGTGTCACACTCTTACGTTGCTGTGACACTCTTACGTTGCTGTGACACTCTTACGTCGGTTTCACACTCTTACGTTGCTGTGACACTCTTACGTTGCTGTGACACTCTTACGTCGGTGTGACACTCTTACGTCGGTGTCACACTCTTACGTCGGTGTCACTCTTACGTTGCTGTGACACTCTTACGTCGGTGTGACACTCTCACGTTGGTGTCACACTCTTACGTTGCTGTGACACTCTTACGTTGCTGTGACACTCTTACGTTGCTGTGTCACTCTTACGTCGGTGTGACACTCTTACGTCGGTGTGACACTCTTACGTCGGTGTGACACTCTTATGTCGGTGTCACACTTTACGTCGGTGTGACACTCTTACGTTGCTGTGACACTCTTACGTTGCTGTGACACTCTTACGTTGTTGTGACACTCTTACGTTGCTGTGTCACTCTTACGTCGGTGTGACACTCTTACGTTGCTGTGACACTCTTACGTCGGTGTGACACTCTTACGTTGCTGTGTCACTCTTACGTCGGTGTGACACTCTTACGTTGCTGTGACACTCTTACGTTGCTGTGACACTCTTACGTCGGTGTGACACTCTTACGTCGGTGTGACACTCTTACGTCGGTGTGACACTCTTACGTTGCTGTGACACTCTTACGTCGGTGTGACACTCTTACGTCGGCGTCACACTCTTACGTTGCTGTGACACTCTTACGTTGCTGTGACACTCTTACGTCGGTGTGACACTCTTACGTTGCTGTGACACTCTTACGTCGGTGTGACACTCTTACGTTGCTGTGACACTCTTACGTCGCTGTGACACTTACGTCGGTGTGACACTCTTACGTCGGTGTCACACTCTTACGTTGCTGTGACACTTACGTCGGTGTGACACTCTTACGTTGCTGTGACACTCTTACGTCGCTGTGACACTTACGTCGGTGTGACACTCTTATGTCGGCGTCACACTCTTACGTTGCTGTGACACTCTTACGTTGCTGTGACACTCTTACGTCGGTGTGACACTCTTACGTTGCTGTGACACTCTTACGTCGGTGTGACACTCTTACGTTGCTGTGACACTCTTACGTCGCTGTGACACTTACGTCGGTGTGACACTCTTACGTCGGTGTCACACTCTTACGTTGCTGTGACACTTACGTCGGTGTGACACTCTTACGTCGGTGTCACACTCTTACGTTGCTGTGACACTCTTACGTCGCTGTGACACTCTCACGTTGCTGTGACACTTACGTCGGTGTGACACTCTTACGTTGCTGTGACACTCTTACGTTGCTGTGACACTCTTACGTTGCTGTGACACTCTTACGTTGCTGTGACACTCTCACGTTGCTGTGACACTTACGTTGCTGTGACACTCTCACGTTGCTGTGACACTCTTACGTCGCTGTGACACTCTTACGTTGGTGTCACGAACAAAAACAAAGCGTCGTGAATGTGACGTCGCAATGGGTTACAGCACCATTCGTAATTTTAGTCCTTGGGCTGACCACCAAAGATTTTGATTTCGTAAACTTTGCACCCCGATTTACAAATCTGGTGTGTGTGGGGGGGGGGGGCATGAAGCCTGGCACCCAAACGGACAATTTCGTTTTTCAGACTCTTCCAGCTCTAAGAAACTAAACTCGGCTGTGGTTGTGTCAGATTTCAACTTTCTCGCCCTTCTAGACGAACATCGCTCGCCCCCCCCCCCCCCCCCGCCGTGTATCAGTAGAGCGTTGGGTTGCATTCGTCAATAGCTACCCATGGGTCCTGTTTATATGAACGAGGGCTGCGTCACTGTGTTGTGTGTGTTTGTGTCTTCACGATCGATGTTCATTCCCACACTCAAAATCTCGCCGGAATTATCATGATAAATGGGGATTTAGGGGTTCACGTAAATACATAACAAAGACGAAGATCCTCCCTCTCCTTACCCCCTGCTATAGGCTCTAACAGACTGTCGGGACAATTTCTGTTAGCGAGCTCTAATGCTTCACCTGCACACACATGTGCTCACACACACATACACATTGACACCTACACACACATGTGCTCACACACACACACATGTGCTCACACATACGCACGCTGACACCTACACACAGATTGCCACACACACACACAAAGATATTGACACTTGCACACTGATGTGCTCACACACACACATATTGACACCTCCACATTCTCTCAACAACAACAACAACCGCCATTCGCAATTAAGTGACGGCGACGGCACCACTGCGCTTGTGCCAGGGTAGGTGCACTTTGAGGCCACGTGGAAGTGACAGAACCGGGTGTTTTGAGTTGACTGAGATGACCGGCAAACGCACCAGCTGTGTTACCCACTGTGCAAGCGTGCTGCGCTTTAGCCGCCCGGCACTCCGCTCGTTATTGAGAGCGTCGCTCCTCTTCACTCCGTTGTTGGTGGGTGACTGCCTCCAACTGTCCAGTTGGGTCCTTCACGAGCCTCCTCCATAGAGGTCCATCTTGACCCCACTGGTACCAACTCAGCTCCACATCGTCCTGTACCGCATCAGTCCATCTCCTCTCCAGCCCATGCCGTGCCCATTTAGCCCCCTCTATCCGGCCAAACAGGAGATGCTTGGGCATGTGGTGGCTGGGGATGCGGGCTACATGACCCGGCCAATGGGGCCTCGCCTGCTGGAGGAGCTCACTGATGGGACTGTGTCCAGATCGTTCAAGAATCTGTGAGCTCCTCACACAATCCAGTCTGGTTAAACCCAGGACGGATCATAGGCAGGCCAGCCTGAATGTTTCAAACCAGTGCAGACGATCCTCCTTCAGAGGGGTCCAGGTTCTGCAAGCGTAGACAAGGGAGGGCATAACCGTGGCCAAGAAGACTTGTGTGTACAAACACAAAGATCCCCCGTATAGCCTTTAATAGACTGTTGGGGCAAATGAAAGCTGGCACGACACACGAGGTTGTGGGTGGCCAGCACCACGCCCGACCGTCTTTGTCTCCCCAATGACGATGTTTACACACCGCACTAGGGACTCATTTGAGGTTGAGTCGACCCTAGGGGAGGCTCAGGACCAGTTCAGTCGTCACCGGTGTTCGCCGTGACCGGGAATCGAACCCGGGTGGCCGGGGTTCTTAGCGCAAACTGCTACTACGCTCCCGCTCCCGCCACTTGTGTGTACACAGACACACGCAGACGACACGAACAGACACAAAGACAAGAGGAGACGTCTCAGTCCGCAGAACAATAATAACGATGACATTTATTATTTGTATACAGTGGCATCATTCGTGCAAATCGCGCTCAACGAACTGCTGCTGTGGAACGTCGTTATGCTCTGCACAGGCAGAACAATTGCCCAAGCTCTGTGATCTTACAATTGTGATGATTGGCCAAGTCAGTATTTTGACGAGTTTTCTATCCATGACGATCGGGATGTAATTTGTAACTTCCCTCCGTGTGCCGCTGTAAGTTGCGTGCATCCACTCGTTTGGAGGCGGCGGGTATATAGCATACTCGCCACGGTGGCGAGATGTTAACTACCTCGCCCGGTATACAGGAGGTCACAGGTTCCATCCCGATCCTGACACCTGCTGTATATTTTGAGTTTTTTTTTATGTTATCCCCGTGGTCGTGTGGATTTTTCTCCGAGTCCTCCGGTTTGTCCCTCCACATTTAGAATGATAAAGACATTTCTACATGACAAGCCACTTTGTTGAGCTATCATTTGTGGCCAGGTCGCTTCTGAAAATGAGCTATGTAGCTCAGTGGGCCCTTACCTGGTGAACTAAAAAATAGTTGAGTTTTTAAAGCGGAGCGCCATCGATATCTTTATGTTCATCTCAGTGTGATCCATGAGGTGGACAGAGTAATTCTAAAGACGCGTGCATAACTCCTTGTTCTTGTAACCCCTCTCCCCTGTGCAACACACACACACGTATGCACATGTACACACACACACACACCATTCACTCGCACACCCACGAATTCCTACACACACACGCATTCACTCTGAACATTGACTCAAATACTCAACCACAAACTCACGCGCACGCTCACCCACACTCACACCTACACACACATCACCACCACTACCATGCCATCACCATCCTCACCAACACCAACCCCCCCCCCAATTGCTCCACAGGGTAAAATCCTCTTCCACTTGACCAGGGGGGCAAATGTTCTTCGCCAACTGCGTGAAGACCTCAGCACCACCTCCACGAACGACAGCAGCAGGATCAGCAGTGACAGCAACAGCAGCAACAGCAGCGATAGCAGTGCCCGGCGATCGAGGGAGGTGGACCCCCACAGCGCAATGCACAAGTCCACCTTCTACGACTTCTCCTTCTACCAAGGTGGAGGAGGAGGTGGAGGTGGAGGAGGAGGAGGTGCGAACGGATACGTGTACGAGCCGTCGGCCCAGACCTACGTCGGCGCGACCTCCCAGCACTCGGGGCCCGAGTACGGCCACTCGGCGTGCTCCCTGCAGCAGCAGCAGCAACAGCAGCAGCAGCAACAGCAGCAGCAGAGCTCCGGCTCGGCGGGCGCGGTGCCCGCCCTCCCCAAGGCCGGCGACCTCGGGGGCAGCTGCATGCGGTCGAGCAACGGCGGGCAGGCCACGCTGCCCACCACGGGCTTGCCCGACAAGCAGGGTTGCGCTCCGACGCCGCTCTCCACGCCGCCGCCGTCGTCCGCCGCCCCCGCGGCTAACGGCGGAGGGACCGTGGGCAGCAACGGGAGCGGCGGCGGAGGCGGTGGTGGAGGCAGCGGCGGCGGTGGAGGTGGCGGTGGAGGGAATGGAACGGGCGGACAGAAGGGGGTGGCAAGCAAGCCGTTTGCGGCGTCGAATCTGGGCAACGCGCCGAGCCTCACCAAGCAGGTGTTCCCGTGGATGAAGGAGTCGCGGCAGAACGCCAAGCAGAAGAATAGCTCGCCCTTGCCAGGTATATCACCCGCGCGGCACCGCCACCACAACAACAAAACGCAAATATCACCCCGCATAGCCTTCGACAGACTGTCGGGGCAAGTGCCGTTAGCGAGCACGGCAAACGCGCGCGCACACACAGAGAGACAGACAGATACGCACGTACCGTGCACAACGTGCGCACGATTGGGCACAGCGCGTGCGACGACTCAAGCTGCTGGATTTCTGGGAGGCTCAAAGTCATCAGGTGGCAGCCCCTCCCTCCCTCCCTTTTGTCAGCCCCGCCCACTTTTATTTAGCCACTCCCACTGATCTACTAGCCCCGCTCACTCCTCAAGTAGCTGCATCCTTTGTTTGCTGGAAAATAAAATAAAAACACGGGACAAGACCCAGCTTAGATTTGTATTTTCATGACAAACTTTTATAAAATGATCCCGGCCATACCAGGGCATTAGCTGGATTTAACAACTGTCAAAGCGGTATTTAAGAGCGGTGAAATGCTATTGGCGCACTCGCATGCTCTGCAGAGCTTGCTATATGCAAACTAATGAAACTATTTATGAACTTTTAAATAATTTATTATTTTAGCAGGTAAGGCCCACTAAGCTATGTGACTCTTCAGAAGCAACCTGGCGATCACAAATGATAGCTCAACGAAGTGGCCTATTGTCACGTGGACATTTATAGCAGCCAAATACTCCTATCGAATTTTTCTAATTGTGGAGGGAAAAAACCGGAAGACCTGGAGAAAAATCCACACGGCCACGGGGAGAGAGAGATGCAGACTCTAAATACAGAGGCGTCAGGGTCGGAATCGAACCCACGACCTTCCTGTATACCAGGCGAGGCAGTTAACATCTCGCCACCGCAGTGCCCTGGTGATGATGCTGGTGTGTTGGCAGTGATGCACAAAACAACTCAACGGATTTTTTCAGTAACACTGTGGCATTGAAAGGGAACAATATAGTAGGTAACGTTTCAGGCAATTGCCATTCTTCAGAGCGGCACATAGACACGCTTATTTTTTCCGACTCAGGGCCACCATCCCATTGTCGTGAGCATTTTCCACAATCACTTCCTGTTTCACTGGCATCAATGTATAGACCACGTTGGCCAATCAGGAGCTGCCTAGGGTCTGCTGACCCCAGGAAGGCTTAGGTCAACAGGAAGTGATGCGACAATAGAACATTGCAACATCTCTGGAAACGTAAGCAGTGATCAATACTACGAGTTTGAAATCTCACCAACTCTGCCTACACACACACCTCGTTATGAATTGTAGGGGAACCCCGGTGTGCTTGTCAGTTGGAGGCTACACCCAACTGATGAGCCTCAATGAAGTCAAACCTGGTCGAATGTTTTGCCCTCGTTTTACAAACAAATGATGCTCGTCCGAAAGCCCGACAATTAAAATACATTTTATGTTTACTTCACAAAGCGCATAAACTGCTACCGTCGCTCTATCTCCACCGTGGCCATACTCTTGGGATCATATTTGTCCATTGGCCATCATCCCTTCTTGGTCTTAACAATCAATACGCTGTCTCTAGCTTTGCATTTGTTTTATGATCCACGTGTTACTCTTCCCGTGTCTCGGCGCAATTCCAGGCATGCACCTCATCCATCTCTGCCCTTTATCATCATCATCATCACCACCACCATGGTCTCTCTACCCCTGGATGAAGATCGCAGTGACGCCTCCCATTCACATCCACGTCTTCCTCTTCCCGTCTCTCGGCGCAATTCCCAGCATGCACCCTTCGGCGTCCTTCTGTGTGCGCTCTTCAGCTTTTTTTTCTCTATCCCTTTGTCATCGTGCGCGGCACGTGACGCCAGCCCGTAATGCTCACGGTCCGCGTACGCCCGTGCGTGTTATGAACACGACGTCTGCCCATCAAGCAGTATCGACGACGAGGGGAGTCCGTAGTGGAGTCACGCGTTACCGAGTGATTAGTGTGAGACGAGGGCCGACTTAGAGAGGTGGGGGGGGGGCAATGCCGGATTAAGCTAGTGCGGGGCCTGTAGCATATGTTATAAAGGGGCCCTAAATACAAAAAAGAACGTAAATATTGAAACACTAAATATTTACTTGTATAGTAAAGTTATTTTATTTTTTCATTTGCTTTACAGCCAAATACGACAAATCTCTAACCTTAAAGACCCAGTCGTTTGTAAAAAAAAAAAACGTTGAGGGCAGTATAGTACTATAGTATTAGAGCAAGTGTAAAATCACTAAACCGGAATTGATAGCTTGAAAGCATTTAGCGCCGGGCCCTTGAAAGTGCGGGACCCGTAGCTACTACATGTGTAGCTACTTGTGCCACTAGGATAACCCAGCACTGGGAGGATGGGGGAGGTGCGGGTGCCTCAATGGGCACGTGGCACACTCAGAAAACATTGAGCTTCGAATACCGATAGCCTTGGCTTAACATCGGAACCCGTGGACCTACAAAGACACCCTGAGAATCACGCAGATCCCCGCAGATTCACTGTCGAGAGTCGTCGACTCTCAGAGAGACTTCCATTTTTTGGACTCGCATAAGAGACACATAGCCTCATAAAGAGATCCATAGACTCACATAGAGACTCAAAGACTTAATATCGAGAACACTAAGTGACATTTGATACTGGGGGAAAATGTCCCATAGATACAACTGCTCATCTTTGTGGCGTTCTCTGGTCTCACACTGGTGAGACGAAGCCCTTGAAGAACGAGGCTGTCTCTGGTGTAGGCCAATCAGTTTCAAAGGCAATACCATATCTTATCAGAGCATGTTTTTTTTTTGTTTGCATGTTCACCACATGTACGTCTGGTTAATGCGGGCATGACTCCTTGCAAAAGGTTTCCATTTGGTGTTTGAATATCTTAACACCTGTTGTATTGCCAGAAAGGGTAAAACCTATTCTTGTTTTTCATCATCGAGAACCATATAGACTCACATATAGAAGCCCACAGACTCCCATAGATACTCATCCACTCATATAGAAGCTCACAAACTCACATAGACACTCATAGACTCGCATAGATACTCATTGACTCATATAGAGGCCCACAGACTAGCATAGATACTCATTGACTCATATAGAGGCCCACAGACTCACATAGAAACTCATAAACTCGCATAGATACTCATAGACTCATATAGAGGCCCACATACTCACATAGACACTCATAGACTCGCATAGATACTCATTGACTCGCATATACACTCGTAGACTCATATAGCGGCCCACAGACCCACATAGACACTCATAGACTCGCATAGATACTCATAGACTCATATAGATGCCCACATACTCACATAGACACTCATAGACTCGCATAGATACTCATTGACTCGCATATACACTGGTAGACTCATATAGAGGCCCACAGACTCACATAGACACTCATAGACTTGCATATATACTCATTGACTCATATAGAGGCCCACAGACTCGTATAGACACTCATAGACTCATATAGAGGCCCACAGACTCACATAGACACTCATAGACTAGCATAGCTACTCATATACTCATATAGAGGCCCACAGACTCGCATAGATACTCATTGACTTATATAGAAGCCCAAAGACTCACATAGACACTCATAGACTCACATACAAGCCCACAGGCTAGCATAAATTTGGTTGTGATCAAACGGGGTTCTCGAGTGTAGTAATGAGTTGATGGTCTCAGCCGGTCACAAGTGACTGCACGAACAACACAGAGAGATGTAATTGGTCAGTCTGTGAGTCGGTCCGTCACTCGCAGCGCTTGCTTGGGCAGATGTTGGTCATGCGAGTTTGAGTCAGAGCGGATTCTGGTATTGATTATGAGCTATCTATCATCTCTGACCTTTGAACAAGGTGTAACAAAAATATAATTGTAACCAAAATATTTCACTACGCCAATCGTATGGAAGACGGAGGGGGGTGGGGTGGGAGTGTGTGAAAAAAAATATCTGCCAATATGTCTCGTGTGTTTTACCTTCGTTGATTTTCTTATTTCATTGAGGCAACACGCGGGCCCCGTTACATCGCGTCGTGGAAGCGCGCGCACCGTCAAACGTAAACTCAACCGGTTGTGACACGCAGGGGGGTAGAAAGATGGGGAAGAGGGCCGCTGCATCTTCGTTGAAATTTGACAAAAAATATTAAAACCCCAGAACATCTTTCATTTTGGGGAGTTTTTGGAGTGGGGGGGGGAGGGGTGTTGCGCAGTTGGCAAATTGAGGTTTAGTGGTCAGGCGAGGTGGGTGGAGGTGGGGGGACATTTACCGAGAGCGTTCTCGTGAAACTGAACTGAAGCACAGTCGTAGACAAGGTGGCTCTCTGCTGCAGCAAGCGTCGAGGCAGTGTTGTTGCCGATAGATTCTCTTGGCTGCTGCTATGAAGGATGATGATGATAAGCCACTTTTGTTGAGCTATCATTTGTGATGGCCAGGTCGTTTCTGAAAAGGAAGCTAATGGCCCTGTGGGCTTTACCTGGTAACATAAAACATCGTTTCTTTTGCATTTTTACCTTCAATTTTTTTTTCTAGTAATGTGTTTACCTTTCCTATGCTCTAAAATCCCGTCGTGTTTTTTTGTTTTGTTTTGCTTGTTGTTGTAACTTTCTGACCCGCCCCGTACTGGACGCCTGTGAAAAAAGAGCTCTATAGCTCATCGGATTCCTCCCGCAGGATAAACAATCTGACTCTGATTCTGAGCCAGTGATGGGAACTTCACATTCCTATGGTGGGGTTGGGTGCAAGAGCATCTGGGCTCGAGGTGTGAGAATCAGTGGATCGCAGTGCCACGTGCTGGATTTTGACACTGAGAGCTGAAGTGAGGAGGTGTGGGAGGAGAGAGAGAGGTGTTACGTTCGACATACAGCAACACCCAGACATCAGAGTCACTACCACCATCACCATCTTCACCATCGCCACTCTCACAATCGTCGCCTCTATCACGTCGCCACGAATGTCAACATTATTATAACGGCGGCAGCACCTCCGCCATCAGCATTCACAACATCATCACCCTCAGCAACACG